CACACACACACACACACACACACACACACACACACACACACACACACGACCATGTGTATACATCAGGTATTAAAAACACGTCTGTTTACACATAAACACATTAAAGCTGCGTTTTCTGTTCCAACGAACCCGCTCTCAATCTCACACACACATTAACGCTTACGTAAACACACACACACACACACACACACACACACACACACACACACACACAGGTGAGGTATAAAGTAATGGATAATGAGAAGCTTTTCCATCAACAGAGTCAACTGGAAAAAGTGTGTTTGCTCTCCGTATATTGTTTTTACTGAAACAAGTGTCTGCACATTTAGCAGCACACACACACACACACACACACTTCCATCAGGCAAAGTCGATACAGTAAAAGCATAATTTTCAACACCGAAGCAAAAATAAGTAACGACACAGGAACAGGAAGTCAGTTTGAAGAACGAGTCAATAATTGTTTTTTAATAATCTCTGTGTGCAGAGATTATTAAAAACAGTGCAAGTCCAAGCACAATTACAGGAATATACTGTAAATTTGATGAACTAAGATTAATGAGGAAGGTCTTAGAGATATTAGAGGAAAGTAAATCACCAATAAGGATTCATATTTCTGGTATATTTCTACTTATTAAGTGCTTGTATAAAAAGGAAATGAGACACATCGCCTCCAGAAATATTCAGTTAAATAAAGTAGAAGTTGTTTTCAGTGTCTCAAACACAGCTGAAGTGTCTGGAGGTTGCAGGTTGACAGTTGGAATATTACAGAAACATTTAGAGATTTTGGAGCCACGTGCAGTGGAAATCTCTTCCAAATATAAGAAGGAAAAACGTGCAAAAAGACGCTTCGTTGCGAGATTTGAATGTATTCGAAGTCGGTAGATTCGCTACGAACACACCGGGAAGTTGTTGAGTAAATTGCAGCGAAACTCCGAAACTTTAAAGTGGAAAATCTTACAGATAATAAAGAAAAACAACAAAGTGACTAAAGTATTGACCGACCTGGCGCTGGTGCAGTCCTGGTACAGGATCTCGAAGTCCTTCCTGGAGATGAGCTTGCAGCGGTTCACGCCGGGCTGGATGGCGCCGAGCCCCCGCAGGACACGCACCTGCTCCACGGTGCACACCACCGGCGCGATGTCCAGCCTCTTGAGCTTGGTGTAGACGGTGTGCAGCCCGCCCACCAGGTGCTTCAGGAAGAGGTCGAACACCTGCGGCAGGCAGATGAGCTCCTGGCCGTCCACGCCGAAGCTCGCCACCTTCACGCCGTGCACCTCCACCAGCTTACACTCGCTGCAGAGACCCGGACTGGCGGAGGTCTGCGCCATACCGGGGGAGCCGGGGGTCAGACCGGTCGCGTTCAACGAGCCGAGCCCGCCGAGGGGACCCAGAGCGGCGGCGGCGCAGCCCCGGTCGTGTCCGGAGGCGGCGGCGCCGCCGTTGCCCAATCCGGCCAGCGCGCCCCCTGGTCCGGGCAGGAAAGCGCTGAGCATGCTGCTGGTGAGCCGCGGCGACGGGGATAGGGAGTGGGAGTGGGAATGGGAGTGAGCGTGGGAGTTGGTGTGGCCCGGGCTGGTGGTGCCGGTGGAGCTGACGGAGGTGTGGAGCGCGTCCGGCGCAGAGCGGTAGAGCGCGGCCGGAGTCGGGGCGCCCGAGCCCGGCGGCGAGAGCAGCGGAGGGGAGCCGGGGAGCGACATGGAGCTGAGGCGAGTTCTGTCTCCCCCTCTCTCACTCACACACTTTCTTCTTCTCTCGCTTTCCAGTTGAGGGGAAGAAGAGGAATAAAGTAAAGCCCTCGTGCGTGTTTTTCGGCTTGTTTTCCTGTCTCTTTTTCTCCTCTTCCTGATTTTCCTCCGGTTCTTCTCTCACTCTCGTTATCCGCGCGTGGAAGAGCGGACTGTCCGGTCTGTGCGTAAAAGCTACTGGATCAGACTCCAGGTCAGCCCCCCCCCCCACCCCCCCTCCCCCCCCCCCCCCC